ATTTTGTATTTTCCTTTGTGCTTTATATATAAACAAAAAATATATTTCATTTATTTTAATTAAGTATAAATAAAAAATTGATAATATAAAATTACGTCCACTGGGCGTGACGTACTGACACGTCCTAGTGAAAAAGTATGCACCCGTTGTATGTTGCGTCATTAAAAAGGGAACTCCCTGGTTAACAGGTTTAAAGGACAAAAATGAACAGAAGCATCTTTTCTTTCCTTTCATTCCCCACTTCTTACTCTTACTACTTTTCAGTGCCCCCTTCACCCCCCCACCCCAACCCCTTTCCCAAAACTTGGAACTCAATTAGCCTGTGAGCAATGAAACAATGATATGTGACAATACCACTGGGTGGATGGATATAGAGGATGGATACCCAACTGTAATAGAGGTGGCCAAAAAGAATACTAGATTCACAGGCAACTAAGAGTAGAGGAATTCAAAGATTACCTTTATAAAGTAATAGAAAGTGGTTTATAGCCACCATATTGCAAAAGGAGAAAAGTCTCTAGAATTAAATACCAAGGAACCTGATTTTGTTATATTATTGCTAAATGCCACAAACTTAGCAGTGATCACTTAAAAATAGTCTATAGTGTGAAGTTTAAGGAACAATGACTCCTAATTAGTATTATAATAAGTGTGTTAGCCATTCTGGAATGTCATTTATGGTAAATTAAAGAACTACTATCCCTCCCCATCTCCATTAGTATTTTAATGCTAGGAGGTGGGAAAAGCTGATCCATATTCAAGAGGAAAGGAAGAAAAACAATAACAAATTGGCATCTCTTCTGTGGATTGCCCCACAGGCCAAGCATTTTTATGTTCTTAATCATTATTAAATGACTTAACATGACACCCAGAGCCTGGCGAATGATTGCATCCTGACATGAGAACGAATTACAAATGAAATGAAAGATCAAGCCGCATTAGAGGATTGCCTCTGGGAAATGAAAATCTTTAATTCTCTTTTATTATTGACATTTATTTGGCTGCCATGAATAACAACATAGCAAAGAGATTCAGCTATGCTTGTGCACTGAATAGCTTATCCCAGGGCTCAAAACTGCATTAACATTTATCATGTTTGCTTTTGTAGCTGACACCACTGAACAGATTCTCTATCCATCTTGTATTTATCATGCATTGCAGATATAGTACACCCTCTAATTTAAGTTCATTTTCATATAGTAGAAGCAGCAAAGATTACCAATGTCTGTCCTCAAATAAATTCCTGCTGGTAAGCATTCCTAAGAGGGTTTAATATATTTAATAAGAAACAAATTGAGTTGACAAATTCAGTCACAGGAAGAGGATGCTAATTTTAAAGGTTTCAATTTTTGGAAATTTGTGCTAATTCACAAGACACTTGTACAATATGTATCTCTGGAATAAAGCCTTAAAATAAATGTCTCTATAAAGAGCAACCAAATAGCATTTTATGAATCTGAAGGCAGTATGACAATTCTTATGAGGTAAAAAAGTCGGTATGATTTTCACTTTTCCAAATGGTGTTTACTGCTAAGCCAGGAATAGGCCACACACATAAAAAGACAGCAATTCAGTTATTATCAATGCAGGAATATCTTTTCATGACTTATTTATTTTCTCTCTTGTACAAATTAACAACATGGCTTTTCCTGTCACAACAATAAAAGGTTATTCTGTATGTGGTGTCTTTGCTCACGTAATCCTCTCTGACTAGATTGCCCTCCTTTCTTCAGTACTTCCTAAAATTCAAGGCTTAGCAAGGATATCAATGTATATGGGGGAAATAAATCACTTAATACTATATATCTGATTTTTGATTGAAAAATTAATTTTCTGTTCTTCTGTATTTTATACTTTTAATTATGAAAAATTTTAAGTGTATATACAAATGGATGTAATTGCACAATGACCATCCACCACCCATCTTTTGCAATTATTGACTCATGGCAAATCTCACTTCATCTATAACTTCCCTTCATTATTTACTATGTACTGCATTATTTTGAAATAAATATCTGTATCTTGCTTTTGACAATTCTAAAATAAGTTGAAATGAATTAATTCTAAGGTCCCTACTCCCAAAATTTGACAATAATTTATCCTTCTATCTCTTCAGGCATATTTATTTAGTTCAACAAAATTTACTTCATAGCCTCTATAAAATCCTTATTGAGTTTTTATTGATTTCCTTCTCTGAGTCAATAAAAGCGCTCATAATTTTTACCAGTAATTAACAAGTGTAATTACAGTTTCTTGTATTCATATGTTGATATGTATTAATTTTATTTCTGAGTTAGATCTTTAGGACTCATATCTTAAGTTTTAATGTTCAATAGAGTACTTGAATAAACACAAAGGTAATAATTGCTTCTTATAATAATTATTAACTGATTTTAATCTTAATGGTTCAGTCAAAATGAAAAGGTATTTTGGCTTTAATAGTAGGTAACATCATATTGACAATATTAATCATTTTTTAATTGTTTAAGCTATCACAACTCTTTTTAAAAAAATATATACTTTTATTGATTTCAGAGAGGAAGGGGGAGGGAGAGAGACATAGAAATATCAGTGATTAGAGAAAATCATTGATCGGCTGCCTTCTGCATGCTCCCTACTGGGGATCGAGTCCACAACCTGGGCATGTGCCCTTGACCAAAATTGAACCAGGGACCCTTCAGTCCACAAGCTGACGCTCTATCCGCTGAGCCAAACCAGCTAGAGCAATATTAATTATTTTATTTGATAAAATGTTTGTTGACTAAATAAAATTCCTATTTTATTTCTTTTAAAAATATATTTCTTTATTGATTTCAGAGAGGAAGAGAGAGGAGAGACAGATAGAAACATCAATGATGAGAGAGAATCATTGATCGGCTGCCTCCTGCACACCCCTACTGGGGATCAAGCCGAAACCCAGGCATTTGCCCCTGGCCGGAATTGAACCTGGAACCCCTCAGTCCACAGACTGACACTCTATCCACTGAGTCAAGCCGGCCAGGGCTATTTCTATGAAAATAAGTGGCTGTGTAAAAACAGAAGTAAAGTTTCCTTTAAGTTTAAAAGCTGATGAAGTAACTTATATCTGGGTTACATTTGTTCATAGTTGGATACATTTATGTTATTGGAGCACAGATATTTGGTAATTAAAATGTATGTTTTTCAGGAAAGACATTTCTAGACAATATCTCCAAAATATCACAGTAAAAAAAATCAAGGTAGATTTACTCAAACTGATTTTTCTTAAATTATCTTCTTGAAAATATTTTCTACCGAGATAGAAGGTACATATATAATTATTAAAATTATATTAAAAAAAACTATACAAGGTACATTTCCACAGAAATAGAATAAAAAAATTCGAAATTTCATATGGAACCACAAAAGACCAAGAACAGCCAAAGCAACCTTGAGAAAGAAGAACAAGGTTGGGCATCACACTTCTTTTGATTTCAAACTACATTACAAAGATACATTAATCAAAACAGTATGATAGTAGTATAAAAGCAGAGACACGCAGGTCAATGGAACAGAATAGAAAGCCCAGAAATAAACCCGGATATATGTGATCAATTAATTTATGACAAAGGAACCATGAACATACAATGAGGAAACAATAATCTCTTCAATAAATGGTTTGGAAAATTGGACAGCCACATGCAAAAGAATGAAAGTGTATCATTACCTTACAACATACACAAAAATCACCTCAAAATATTAAAGACTTGAAAGTAAGACCTGAAACCATTAAACTCTTAGTAGAAAAAGGGGTAAGTTCCTTGACACTGCTTTGGTGACAATTTTTAGGATTTGATACCAAAAGCAAAGTCTGCAAAAGCAAAATAAACAAGTGGGATGACATCCAACTAAAATCACAATCAAACAAACAAGCAAAGAAAGAATACTCCTTCACAACAAAAGAAACCATGAACAAAATGAAAAGGCAACCTATGGAATGGAGAAAATATTTGCTAATCACTTACCTGGTAAGGAGCTAATATCCAATATACCTTATACAACTCAAGAAAAAACAAACATAAAGCCAAACAAAAAAGTCAAACAAAAACAAGGTGAAAGATCTGAATATTTTCCCATAAAAGACATACATACACATGGCCAACAGGTATATGAAAAGGTGCTCAACATCATTAATCAGGAAAATGTAAATCAAAACCAAAATGAGATCATCTCATACCTGTTAGAGTGGCTATTATCAAAGAAAGAAGAAATGTGTGTTGGCAAGGACATACATGAAAAAAAAGGAACCCTTGTGCACTGTTGATAAAAATGCAAATTGGTGTAGCAACTATGAAAAACAGTGTGGAGTTTCCTCAAAAAATTAAAAATAGTACTACCATATGATCCAGCAATTACACTTCTGGACATTTATGTGAAGAAAATGAAAACACTAACTTGGAATGAAATCTGTACCCTTGTGTTCATTGCAGCATTTTTTATAATAGCCAAGACATAAAAGCAACCCAAGTGGTCTGTTTGATGGATGTAGGGATAAAGAAAATGTATATATACTTACACATTTATACATTAAAATAACATTCAGCTGTAAAAAGGAAGGCAATCCTTCCATTTGCAATGATCTGGATGAACCCTGAAGGCATTATGCTAAGTGAAATCAGTCAGAGAGAGAAAGACAAATAAGGTATGATCTCACTTGCATGTGGAATCTAAAAACATCCGAACTCATGGATACAGAGAACATATTGATGATTGCCAGAAGTGTGTGAGTGTGTGTGTGTGTGTGTCTGTGTGTGTGTGTGTGTCTAAGCAAAATGAGTTAAAGTGGTAAAAAAAAGTACGGTGTTTTGAATTAAATATAACAGAAAGAATGTAAGTTTGTTATAAATGATTAAGCTCCACAATACTGGTTTTCTCACACAGTTTGCATGTTTTGAATTAATTATGTTAGAAAGGATATAGACTTTTGTTATGAATAATTAATCTCCATAATAATGATTTTCTCACAGAGTTTGCACACGTACCTGTAGCCATTATAGTGTCATCACTCCCTTGGGTGAATATCACAACTCGCTGCCTCTTTGAGTTCACCTTTGGCAGAGCTTGGGCCTTTCTGGCTATCTCTTTAATATCTTCAGTCTGTTAATCAAAAGAAGAAAAAATTTCTCATAACCAGTACAATAAGATAATGCTTTCTTAGTAGATTAAGGATTTATAACCAGTACAATAAGATAATGCTTTCTTAGTAGATTAAGGATTTAGACTCTCATATTTAAAATGAGACACTTAAACATTATGAGTTATCATTTAAAAATGTTAACCACATACAAAAGTAAACACCTACACTAATAAAAGAGTAAGATGCAAATTGACCATACATTTGCAACACCCACCAGCCAATCAGGAGTGAGTATGCAAATCAACACAACAAAGATGGAGGGTTAATTTGCATACACAAGTGTCGAGCGGCCGGGGGCAGGGCAGGGCAGGACGCAGGCATTCTGCATCACCCCAGCCACTCTGGGTCTCTGGGCAGCGTGGGAAGGCTAAAAGGAAGCTCCAAAGGCAGCTCGGGGCTGGAATGAAGGTGGTGCCTGCAGTCAGGAGAAGGAAGGCCCATTCTTACACAAATCTTCGTGCATCAGGCCTCTAATAATAGTATAATAACCTCAAAGGAGCCCACCATCAAATTGTAAACATTTAAAATTTATTCATTTATACCTTCATCTACCTGCCTTTCATATTATTCTGAAGTAAATCCCAGAGGCTATATGTCACCTATAAATGTTTTAGTATATATCTCTGAAAGATAACTTAAACACAACCACATAACTATCATCATATCCTAACATATAAAAACCCTGGATAGTAATGACCAGTGACGACCAAGGCTTGACCAATTGGAAGTCAGTCCTGCAGCGCTGCAGGTGAGGTGCCCCAGCACTGACTGCTGCGGGGGCTGTGAATCAGGGCCAGAGAGGGGCCTGAAGAGAGAAGCAGGGACTGATCTGTTGCCTCTTTGGCAGCTTTTGATCAGCACTTGCCTCTCTCTTTCTCTCCCAGTTTGGCCTGCAGCTGTGTCTCCATTTCTCTCCAGGCTTCCATCAGGGCTGCTGATTAGCCCCGTCTTTCCTTCCTTCCTTCCTTTTCTTCCTTCCTTCCCTTCCTTCCTTCCTTCCTTCCTTCCTTCCTTCCTTCCTTCCTTCCTTCCTTCCCTTCCTTCTCTTCTTTCTCTTCCTTCCTTCCTTCCTTCCTTCCTTCCTTCCTTCCTTCCTTCCTTCCTTCCTTCCTTCCTTCCTTCCCTTCCTTCTCTTCCTTCCTTCCTTCCTTCCTTCCTTCCTTCCTTCCTTCCTTCCTTTCCTTCCTTCCTTCCTTCCTTCCTTCCTTCCTTCCTTCCTTCCTTCCTTCCTTCCTTCCTTCCTTCCTTCCTTCTTTCCTTCCTTCCAGAGCAAAGGTGGAGATTTATTGAAGAAAAAGTAGAGACTCCAACATGGGGAGAGGGAAGAGTCCCACAGAATGGACTCCCAAGAAGGGAGGGGGGAAAGGTCCCTAAACCCTGCCTTTCTGATCAGGCCCTGTTGATAGGCCCAGAGACGCTGACTGGCATAGAAACTGACTAATCAGAACCAAATCTGTGTGAAGTGTGAGGAACCAATGGCTGCCTAGGAGGCAGAGCTTTTGACACTGGCTGGCATAGAAACAGACCAATCAGAACCAAACTGGCTGGCAGAGGAGGGAAGTTGGGGGCAAGATTAGGCTGGCAGGGGAGGGCTGTTGGAGGAAAGATCAGATTGGCAGAGGAGAGCAGTTAGGGGTGATCAGGCAGGCAGAGGGGTTAGGGGCAATCAGGCAGGCAGGCAGAGGCAGTAAGGGGTAATCAGGCAGGTAGGCAGGTGAGCCAGTGGTCCCAGATTGCTAGAGGGATGTCCAGCTGCCAGCATTCTCCAAGGGGGTCCCTGATTGGAGAGGGTGCAGGCTGGGCTGAGGGAGCTGGCCTCTTTGCATGAATTTCATGCACTGGGCCACTAGTTTAAAAAATAAACACTAATCCCTTAATATCAGCAAATATCCAGCCAATTTTCAAATTTCCAATAAAAAATTATAGAAAAAATATTAAACTATTTTAGGGGTGTACAGAGCATGATTATGCTGACTATGGAAATAATAGTTACTATAATGCCAAAAATTTCAAAGACTTAAAATGAGAGAAAGGTGCTGTTTTCTAGAGACTTGAATTACTTTAAAAAAGATAAAGTTAAAAAAATTACAAATTAATTCTAGAAACCCTGATGCTGTTTTTTTTGTATCACATAGGCCGTGCATGAAGTTTTATACCTGTGTGTGTGTGTGTGTGTGTGTGTTAATCTTTACCTGAGGATATTTTTTCCATTATTTTTTTTTAGATGGAGTGGAATAGGAGGATTGAGGAAGGGAGGGAGAGGAGGGAGGAAGGTAAAGAAAGGGAGGGAGGGAGGGACAGAGAGAGAGAGAATGAGAATGAGAATGAATTGGGACTGGAGTGGGATCAAACCTGCAACCCAAGTATGTGTCCTTGACTGGGAATCAAGCCCACGACCGGTAGGCTGACGCTCTACTACTGAGCCACATGCCAGAGGAAGTTTTATATCTTAAATGTTCTTGACCTGAAATCTAACTCTTAAGCTATAAGTAGGATTTTTGGAATCATGCTTTCAACAACTTCAGATAATCTCAAAATCCTCTAAAACAGCCCATGGTTTGCATTGTTGGTTTGTATTCCCATCATTGTGCAAAGTTTCAGTTATGGAGAGAGAAACACAACCAGAGGGAAAAGATATTTGCTTGGCATAAGGAAATTAATTAGGATATACAGGATGGAAACATTTAGGTAAGCAAGGCAGGCAAGTCATAATGGTTACAAACAACATCAGAAACCATGACATTTTTAAAGGTATGACAGTCTTTAGTGAAATAGCTGTATGCTGTGTGAACACTAAGTACTTAAGAAATTCCAGATGATATATGAAGTTAGGCTTCTACTATACCTCACATGATAATACCAGAGGACGGCTGCTTCTGAAGAGAAGAGCCACTTGAGGTATAACAATGCTGCTGACCTTTCAAACATGCTGACTATTTCACTTCTGGTTGCTTATTTTAGAACAGAACTAAGCTTGAACTCAGATAAGATGAGAAAAGAAATCCCTCAGTTTTGGGGAAAGACTATTATAAATGACTAGTATCAGCTGAAAAGACCAAAAAATGCCATATAACAATGTCTTCACTCTCTCAAATAAATGTATACATTTAATTAAAATGACTCACATATATTCTCCCAATCACCTTGCCACACATATATTTTACTACTATAGGGTTTTTTGCTTATGATTGAATACAGTTTATATTTAATAAAGATAAGAGGCAAACTCCAGGAATAGATTCACTTTATCATCTTTGAAGCAGCATCTTATGCGTGCCTGGATGTTTTTTATATAGAGGTCTTCAAGGTGGTGCAAGGAATAAATGAAGAATGAGATTCTACAATTGTCTTCTACCCAACTCTGTAGGAAAAATTTTTTTTTATGGAGCTTTGTTAACTTAAAGAAACCTTTTATTTATTATTTTTTAAATTGAGTTTATTGGTTAATAAAATTATATAGGTTTCAGATATATACTTCTACAACACATCATGTGTGTACTGTATGGTGCGCTCCTTCCATCATCATTTATCCCCCTTTACCCTCTTCCACCCCCTCCTCCGCTTCCCTCTGGCACTCACCATACTGTTGTTTGTGTCCATGAGTTTTAAAGAAACCTTTCTTATGTCTCAAATTAAATCCTATAAAACTGGCAATTCCAGATTGAAGTAAACTTTCCAAATATAAAACATAAATCTTTACAGATGGTTACACTTTATTTCTATCCACAGGCACAGTTCACACAAAACCCCTTTGTGGCTCCGGGGGAACTGGCAGTGAGCACCAAAGCTAAACTTCTCACCGGGCCTGGAGGAGCCATTGCTTTGCCCTCAGGAGTTGCTCTCCATCTAGTGTAAAAACTGTTCTTAAAACCTTGATTTTGTCTTTCCAAAACTACATATATTTTTTGAAATCAAAATATAATTTTTTACAGAGAGGAAGGGAGAGAGATAGAGAACTAGAAACGTCGATGAGAGAGAGACATCGACCAGCTGCCTCTTGCACACCCCCACCGGGGATGTGCCCGCACCCAATGTACATGCCCTTGACTGGAATCGAACCTGGGACCTTTCAGACCGCAGACCGACGCTCTACCACTGAGCCAAACTGGTTTCGGCCAAAGCTACATATTTCTAATTTTGCTATCACAGCCAGAAGATTATTTTCCCCTTATATGTGGGCTAACATATCTTAACAGAATGATGAAATTACAAGGGGTTTAGAGTACGACACACCTGGATTTGTGCGCCTTGAGCAGGTAATGATCCCCTCTGAGGCTCCATCTCCTCATGTACATTCTAAGAAAATATTTATGGTAGAAGATGTTGGGAGAGAAGTATGCTATAATTTGTGGGTAAAAATTTGGAGATAATCAGGATATTTGTATAGTCTCATAATATCTCCCCTTAAGATATTTATTCATTACAAAAGGAAAAATAGTTGTGTTACAGTGAAAGAAACTGACAGACATAAATTTACCCCAGTGGTCAAATTTAGCAATGCTAAAATTAGGGGGCAAAATAGGATATTTGCATACTCCCAAAATATTACCTTCAAGATATTTATTAACTACAATGGGATAATAGTAACTTTACAGAGGACACACTGCAAACACCACCTTAACACAGTGATCAAAGTGAGTATCACCAACAATAAAACATAGGGACATCATGTGCGTCCCTGACACGATGCACTGAGAAGGGCCCATCACCTCTGTGATATTTCTGGGAAACATTCGTAACATCTACTTAATTATGTAAAAATGTCAGACAACCCAAACTGGGAGACATTCTACCAAAATGAGTGACTAGCACTCTTCACAAGTATCAAAATCATGAACAAGAAAAGACTTAGAAATTGTCACAGAAAAAAGGAGACTAAGGAGACATGACAATAAATGCAATGTGCAATCCTGGATTAGATTCTGGAACAGAAAAAAGGAAATTAGAGGAAAAATTGGTG